GAGGGAGAAAGGAGGTGGGGCTAAGGCCCTCAGCCCCCCATCTCAGGGGCACAGGGTCTTTTGGTTCCAGTCCCTTGGTCTGCCTGGTTGCGCCGACAGACAGCGGCAGTCATTTGGGCCAGGACCTCGTGGGCCCCTCTGTTGTCTTCAGGGCCCAGGACACGAATGGCTGATGCTGTCATTTTTCAGAGACTGCTTATCCTTTCTTCTGCCAGGTACCTAGTGTCCTAGCACTCCTAAGTTAAATTCACAAACTGAGGTGCACTCCCTGTGAGGCCTAACTCCTGGTTCATACTGCTAGGACGCAGCCTTTCAGGATTCCAACCCAAAGTTTAGGGAATGGAGCAGATTCACTATGACTCCTTTCCTTGGTGGGCTCAGGAACCCATCCCCACTCTCCTTGGCATCTCTCAACTGTCCTCGCTGGAGTCATCTAAGAATAAAGAAGCTCCAAGCTCTAGACTTGCCTCTCAGAGCCTCCCTCCTTCTCTGGATCCCAGCCCAGTAATCTTTCTCTATCTTCTTAACTTATCATGTCTTCAATCAGGTAACTTTATATGTTTTGTCCAGATTTTCTTGTTATCCTCAACAATGGGTGGGGGTTTTTTTGTTTGTTTGTTTTGCTTTTTTTGTTTTTGTTATTTTTTGCAGTGGTAAAATATATTTTCTTTCTTCCTTTTCATGTATGTATCTGTTCTACTTGCAGTTTTTATTCTTTCTTATTTATGGTGACATATATTTCTTTTTTTATTACAGATGTAGGACTCCCTTGAGGGTGTGTTGAAGGGCCAGTTTTGTGATGGTGACTTCCACCATTTTTGTTCGTTTGGCAAAGATACTATTTCTCCTTAATTCTAAAAGAAAGCTTTGCTGGATATAGTTTCATTTTTGTTTGTTTGTTTGTTTGTTTCTTTTAGCACTTTGAATATGTTTTTTTTTATAGTGGGTGGGTCTAAATTACCTAGTCTACTATTACTGGAAACAAATGTTTCCCACAATTATATTTTCTTTGGCACATACAGTGTTGGAAAGATTTTTAATTCTGAATAAAAAATTGCAGTATCTGACATTTATTCATATCTAAATTTACTCAAGACAAAAATTGCATAGAGCAGTTAGGGGACACTGACCCCTTTAGGAAAGGCTCTTGCTCTCAACTTGAGTACCACCTTCTCCCTACCCCCGTTGTCTGTATCCAGCCACTTTATTTTAAATAATATGCCTGCCTGGCCACCGTAAGCATTCTTATTAAAAGGAAACCTTTTAAATTTAATGACTTTTTTGTTTCTAGAAACTTTTAAGAAACAAGATCTTCATTCTCTAAATTATGGTCATTTTTGTTATTTTTCTTCCATAGTTTAGAAGCACCAGCTTGCGGTACAAAGTCACATTTCTTGTACTGTTACATTAAATGGCTGATTATCTATCCACCTTATCCCAAAAATGTCTTTCTTACTTTCCTAGGATCCAGACTGTCATGATAACATTAAGTAAACTAAGGATATTTATTTACAATCAGCCTTTATTATTATTGTCCAAAAGCACCCTCAGTAATTATTCTAACTGGTTATTAAAATTCCCTACCCTTGATTCACATGGCAAATTTACTTCTCAGAACCTACTTTTCCACTGATTAACTTAGTATAATAACAATTGCTCCTCCCATACCAAACAGAATATACATAAACAGGAAAAGATGAGACATTAAAATTTATGTATGATCAAAATCATTCTGTAGGCTCTTTAATATCACTATTTTACCACTGTCAGTTGTTTCATAAGTACATACTGAGAAGCAATTTTTGCCTATGCGTTGTACTATATCATGCCCATGTATACCTTCAAAGTAATAGAAAGAATATATCAGTTCTCAAGGAGCTTAAATTTTATCTGAGAAGAGAAATCACATAGAAAGCAGTATGAAATATACATGAAATACTTCTGTATATGCACAATGACAGTATAAAAGGAAGTATATTATGCCACTAGAATGCCAATTAGAAGAGTAACAAGCAGTTGAGGATGTTGAACAGGAAAGGCTCTTGAAAAAGGTTTTTGAGTCAGATTTCGAGGAATATTTTAGACATGGTCTTAGACATGGTCTGACAGGAGAGAGGGGAAGTTATTCCAGCAAGTGGTAATTTTTTTTCCCAGAGATTTACTTTCCAGAAGCTCAGTCTTTTATTATTTATTTGTTTATTTATTTTTCTGAAGAATTTTGAAGGAGATTTTGTAGTATTCTGGCATAGAGTTGATATTTTTTAATGCTCAAGAATATGTAGACAGTCAAGTGTATTATATATAAAAATAGGAAATGAGAGAGAATAATACACGTAGATAATCATCTCAAGTCTCAGTTCGGTATTGTCGTTTTCCCTCACTGTGTTCAGTAGAAATACTATTCTTCTTGCATGAGGTGATAAGATATTTAACACGTAGATGCTGACATTAAGGAGCTTACAATTGCCATTAGAGATTTAGGTACCTAAGTGAGAAGTTAAACAACCTGCAGTAGTTGAAGAAATGTCACAAGGCAGTGGATGATAAATATTAAAAATATCAGCATTGACAAGTCCTAGCAAAGTTCATAGAAGGTGGAATTCTTGGGAGCTGGGTTGAAGAAAAGGACTTCATGAAAAGGGATGTAACTTAGAAACAGTTCAGCAGAGGTCTTCTAATCTAATGAGATGCGTCCCTTCTGCAACATCACTAATATATGGCTCTTTGATTTTTATCCTTGCCAATAATAGAGAATTCACTTTCATGAGACATCCCATTTCATAATCTTAGAAAGAATGTCCTTCCTTATAGTAGGCCTCAAATCAGCTTCCTTATTAAATCTGATAGTGCTGTCCAGAGCTTCCCAGTGCCTGTGTCTTGGCACCCTTAGGTGCCACAGTGTATCGCAGGTGTGCTGACTTACTCCCTTAGCCCTTCAAGCTGCCTGCAGGGTCTGAAGCAGCCACAGCATCAGGGCTGTGGCCATGAAAAACCTCCTGTGTTTATCCCAGTGCCATAAATACTATCATCTCTTATTTGTGCTCAACTGTGAAAAAGTTTGTGAAGCATTGTTCAGTACAGCATGGTGGTTTCCCCTCTCTGAAATCAGTCAGACCCAGGTTAGAATCTTGGCTCTGCCAGTTATTAGTTCTTAGACCTTGGGAAAGAAACTGCACCTTTTCAAACTTCAATTTCTGCATTGTAAAATGGGTGCAGTAATACTGCCTCTCTTATAGAGGTGGTGTAAAAATTAAAAATGATAATACAATAGCACTTTTAAATATTATTATTGTCATTAGCTCTGCTTGTGCCCTTTTAAAACATTATGTAGAATTCCTCTTCCATTTTAGAATCTTTAAATTATTTAAAACTCGTTTTTATTTTTTCTAAGTCTCCTTCTCTGGCTAAATATCCCAAATTCCGTCAGCATATCCTTGTTCAATATGAGTTCAAAGTCCTTCAACATCTTAGTTCCTCTGTTCTAGACACCCCACAGTGTCTTTATGTTCTTTTTTGAATGTATACAAGGATACTTCAAAAAGTTTGTGGAAAAAACCGATTGACATATAATACGAATTTTTTTCCATGAACTTTTTGAAATACCCTCAAAGTGCTAAGAACAGAATACATCCCTGTAAGTGTGGCTTGATCTACTCTTTGAAGAGTGGACGGAATAGGGGAACAGAGGAAAGAAACTCATATGGAGAGCAGTGTAGTGAGTAAAGAAGAAGAAACCACAACACACGTCATGTTTATCAACAAATGAGCCTCAGTGGCTCAAAGAGAATCATGGGGGGCGGGGGATGCTAAAAAGGCTGAATTGTGAAGTTCCTGGAACCATGAGACCATGGATTCTATCCAATATAAAGGAAAACCAACAATATCGTTACAGGAGACTGATCTATCACTTGAAAGCAAACGACCACAGCATCTATCTGAGCTACTCACAAGCTGTGAAATGTCATAAATACTGTAATCCTTCTTTTGCTCCCCTTAGATGGAAACAATAACCCTACAATTGCCCCAAAGGAATGCTGAGAAACTGGATATGATCTAGAAACTACACATGCCTTAGGCGTTCAGTGGCTGTTGGCTGCTGCAGTCCACTCTGGCTGAAAGAGGAAGGTGACGCTAAGAAGTTATCTTGTCCTATCTCCTAGGAGTCACCACTTCGGAGCTTCAGCCCTCAGATTTTCTTTATTCCTGACACCTTTTTATCTTGCCTTCCAGTTTTTCTTCCATTCGTTCAATATAGCATAATGCTTAGCATCGGCTGGGGTTCCTGCCCCACCTTTGCTGAGTACTAGTTGTGTGACTTTGGGCAAATTGCTCTACATCTTTGTTACAAAGTTTCCTCTTCTATGAGAGCCTGGCAATAATAAGTGATATTTACGTTACTTGCTATTATTTTGAGTCATTATTATTCATACATTCAACAGATACCAAATACTGTGATAAGCACAGATGCATCGGTGAACAGAACAATCGCTTACCTACAGTTGTCACTTTTCTCCTGATTTTAAGGGAAAGGCAATAACTTTGGAATCTGACTCCTGCATGCGGTTTTAGAAGCTACTATTTGTCTTTGTAACCCTGGACGAGGCACTTAATGTCTCTGAGCCTGTTACCTCATTTTTACAATGAGGATTAATAAAATCTACTTCGAAGATTAGCTTTAACTATTAAATAAGATAAAATAAACAAACCGCCTGGCACACAGTTGGAACTAAATATATACTCCTTCCCTCCCATTCTTCCTCCACAATCCTGTGGCCACAGCTGGGACTGAGGGACCCCACTCTGAGTTTAGAAACCAGTGCTTCTTTCTGAAGTGCCAGGCAGGAGTATGGGGGTACAGCGGGAACTCGTCTTCAGCGAAGGCGAAACAGAGCAGGTGTGGGAGGAAACAGACAGGGCTGCAGGGACCGCCCCTGGACTACATCTCCCGGGATGCTCAGCGCGGGGGAGCGCCCCGCCCCGCCCCGCCCCGCCCGGCCCGGGGGCGCTGCCCACCTCGCGGAGTGAGCCGCGCGCGGAGGCTACAAGTGCCGCGGCTGGTGATCGCGGACTTTCTCAGGGAGCCGCGCCCGGGAAAGAGAGCGGTGCTCGAGCCGCACGGGGTGGCCGAGGCACAAGGTGAGTGGCGGAGAGTGGGACGGGGTGGTGGCGCTGGGCGCGAGGGAGGGAGCCCATGAGCCTAGCGGAGCAGGGACGCGTGTCCCCACTCCCTGTCCAAGGTGCCTGCTTCGCCCCCGGGTACTCGGAGGACGCATCCTGACTCCGGGGGCCCCGGGAGACGTGGAGTTCACCGGGAAGGGATTGATGGATCCCGCTGCTCCCGCGGCGACACCGCTGCCCGCCCTCCCGGCACACGGCGCGCAGGTCGCATCCCGAGGTCGCCTCCCCCCCGGACCAGCCTCGCCCGTCTCAGGTCCTATACAAATATTAATGCTTTTAATTGATGGCAGAGACGAGGGAAAGTGCTGTCCCCGCGCTTTGGGATTTATTCTCCTTAACTGGACTTTTAAACAGATCAGAGAAAAAAGAGGGAGAGGACGGAAGAAGCCTTTAGCCGGTCCCCTGGGCTGCTCCATTCTCCAGTGGGTGGAAACCCCGGATCACGGAGCTGCATAGGAAGTCGCCTGTACAGCGAGTGGCTCTGTCAGAGCAAGCCAAGTCTCTCATTTCTGTAAAGAGAGATGGAGGCGAGAGAAGGGAATTCAGTAGAATCTCTCTCCCCCTTTGTTATAAATTGCAAATCCCATAAAGGACCCTGCCCTTTTGATCCATAGTCTGATGTGATGAGTTACTTGTGCCCGTGGTTAATCGGAGCGCCGAATGCCTTAGAAAACTGCGAGATGATTTATTTCAGTAATTGGTGAAGCCCCAGTTACCATCGCTTCATTCATCCAGGGATCCTTCAGCATGGGTTTGCCCACTTGCTAAAGGAAAGCTCTGGTTCAGTTGTAGTTTTCCTACACTTGGTGTTTTTTGCTGTTTTAGTTGCAGAGAAACTCCGATAATAGAAGACAAGTGGTTTTTGTTATGGTTGTTTTAACAACTCAGGTATCTAGCTGAAAACATTCCCTCTCTCTTATTTTGAGTTGCCGGCTTGACCTTAGGTGAGCCTTGCCTGTGCCTCTGTTACCAGCTGTTGGAGCTTTGGATTTTGAAGCCTGAAGCCCTGGGTTAAGTCAATTATCACCATGGATTTGGAAGCAGAATAAAAGGGGCCCTTGGTTAAAACCCCTATATTTAGTGGTAGCAGAAACTGAATTTTTATTTCTCGGAAAGATGGCAGAGGCAGAGAAAAATGGATGGATGGTTTTCTGCTCAGCCCAAAATTCTATCCCAGAAAGCCCCCCCCCCCTTTTTTTGTAGTGGGTGTGAGAGAGTGTCATGGATATAAAATTCCAGAGATAACCTTGGCAGTAGCTTCTCACCTGTTTGCCTCAACAGAACTCTGACTCTGTGGGTTTATAGTTTGCTTTATTGTCAGTTTACTTCTAGATTGCATTCGTAAAAATTTACGATGGTCAATTTCCTGTGCACGTTTGTTAGCCAAGCATGTAGAGGAGGGAACTCAAACCCATTCACACCCAGTGAGCGGGAGTAGCAGACGTTCAGTGGGAATGGGCAGGTGTATGTGTGTGGAGGAGTGGGCTGGCTCATTGTATTTTGCAGGGATCACAGTGAGGTGTGTTGTCTGCACACTTTAGGGTCCAGAACGTGCTGCCCCCATGGAGCAGTGAGGGGAGAGGACAGAGGAGAATCACAGTGGACAAGGAACGTATGGTCTTGTAAATTCAGGGCCATGTGACTAGGGGCATTGGATGTGTGAGGTGTAGAGTTAGGAGAGGTGGCTGATTAAGCTGGTCTTTTCCCCACACTTCAGAATCACAATGCTGAGCCCTTGCTCCAGTGGAGCCCAACCGAGATGGGCATACAGTCATTTACTCGTGGTGATGCTCTAAAGCTAATCTGTATTAGAATCCATTTAAACTGAAGAGAGTGTAAACATTTACAATCTAATTGAATTAGAAAATGTGTGCTTCCCAAGTCCTCCAGAAAATCAGCAGCTCTGCTGAAAAGGGCCCCTGCCTTTCTCATTTGTGTCTTTATACAGGAAACCTGCCTTCTCATTTGAGGGATTCTGTCACAGGAATGTGTGAGTCCTTGGATAAATTTGGTTTGGTGATGGCGGCAAGCTTTCTCCAGAGACACTGCCACTTCCTTCACATACCTTTTCTACCCTGACCTAAGTTTCTCAGTGTTAACCTCTGTGACAAGTCAGAGGATGTGCCTTTTTCACACTTTCCTTCCACTAGGTATCTTCCCACTTCTTTGCCCCTTTTAGGAGGAGCTGGGGCTGAGGTGCCAACAGACAGCTGTGTGCAAAGGAAATGGGGACTTCAGGAGCAGCACTCCAGGCATTAAAGCCTTAGCTTCTGTTGGGTTCTTATCTAACTGTGTTGCTATTGGCAGAATTTCTGGAAGCTGCTGGGGGATGTCTGACTAGCTCCCATGGAGCTCCATTACCTTGCTAAGAAGAGCAGCCAGGCAGACCTGTGCAATGCTTTGGACTGGAGTTCAGGAGGGCCTCCTGGTGACCAGGCAGATGGATCATTGACCAGAGCTGCTCTCTGCTGCAAGAGACACTGTACGTCCACACCAAGAGTAGCCGGGATGGAAGGTTCTAGACTTAGCCCTTCTCCAGCATCCCCTTCCTCCTCTCTGCAAGAAAGTGCTGTTCAGCCAGACTCCTTCCCACCAGGACCTCTTAACTCAGGGAACAGCCAAATAGCAGAACGGAAAGTCTGCAACTGCTGCAGCCAGGAGTTAGAAACTTCTTTTACCTGCGTGGATGAGAATGTCAACTTGGAGCAACAGAACCGGAGCTCCCCTTCAGCAAAAGGAAGTAATCACCCCAGAGACTTTGGCTGGGGAAATCCAAATGAGTGGTCCCATGAGGCTGCTATATCCTTGATATCGGAAGATGAAGATGATACGAGTTCAGAAGCCACATCTTCAGGGAAGTCAGTAGACTATGGCTTCATCAGTGCCATCTTGTTCTTGGTCACTGGCATCTTGCTGGTGATCATCTCTTACATTGTCCCACGGGAGGTGACTGTAGATCCCAACACAGTGGCAGCCCGGGAGATGGAACGCCTGGAGAAGGAGAGTGCAAGGCTGGGGGCTCACCTTGACCGCTGTGTGATTGCTGGGCTCTGCCTCCTCACACTAGGGGGGGTCGTTCTGTCCTGTTTGCTAATGATGTCTATGTGGAAGGGGGAGCTCTATCGGCGAAACAGATTTGCCTCTTCCAAAGAGTCTGCAAAGCTCTATGGTTCTTTCAACTTCAGGATGAAAACCACCACTAATGAAAACCTGGAACTATCCTTGGTGGAGGAAGATGCTCTTGCTGTGCAGAGTTAATTCTGGTTGTGAACTTCTTAAGAGTCTGCCTTGGCATTTTATATGAAAACAATATATTTTTTTTTCCTTAATAGTAACAGTGCAATTATTTGCCTGCTAAGAAAAAATTATTTCACAAACCAACAGCCAGTGAGTGTTTTTGTTCTCCATATATCTTCTATTTAGAAGAAAAGCCATGTAAGATGTATAAGAAACCACAGCCAGCGACACCTGTCCTTCTAAAGAGCTGAAGACAAATTCATCTGTAATGGCCATAAGCTTCTACTTGTATAGCAAAATATTTCTAATAACCCCGTATACAAATAGTTTCTTTTACACAAATACAGAATATTATTCTTTGAATACTAGGAGATCCTACGCATAGTAGGATCAATTGTTAATCTATTTTGAGAAAAGAAACTAAGCACTAATCCCATAATAAGGCTTACATTTAATTCTCAAAGGTGCTTATCCATTTTCTTGCTAAATTTTTCTTCCTGTAATTTGGTTAAACACTGCAATATAGAGTTTAGAGTTTGAATATTCTGAAACTTAAGGATGTTGGTTATTTAAAAAAAACAAACTGTAAAAAATGTTCTATTTAAAATTATTCCTGTATTTAGAAATGGTAACTAAGTCATTAGGATAAATTTTCTAATAAACGATTATATAAATTATATAAAAGAAGATTACATAAAACCAATGTAAATTTTACCCACAATATTAGTGCTAGATATTAGCTAGTGTCACGGGCTCCTATTTTTAAATGAGGTAAAATTAGTTGCTGATATAAATTTCATTTTCTGTTTGTGATTTTGCTGCCATGCTGGTTACCTGTGCTCTGGAAATCTTTGCAGGTTCTCACAACAGCAAGACAAAGCATGAGACATTTTAAATGTATCTCTAGACATCTAAACATCTGGGCAGGTGGAAGTCATGATTATCTCTGGCATGCTCCCAGGTGACATTTTGCTGTTGTTTGGAGATATCCTCCAATGCACTTGCAGCTGGACTCCTGGGAACTGTGCCTAGCAGGCTGTATCACTTGCTGTAGGCCAAGCAACAAGCTGTTGCCTCAGGATGGCAGCAGTCCTTAAGCCCACAACCAAAAGATTAAAGTGGAAAAAGAGAATGATTAAACACACTGATTCAATGGGAACTATACTCAGGCAGCAGAACTCACCTCCTGTTCACAGTGGTCTACACATCATTCTGAGCACCATATCGGTGGGCTCCTCAGTACCTGTGAGCTCTTACCTTGTAAAATGCAGACTCTTGCTCTATGAGAAGCATGGTGGGCACAGTGGTCACAACTTTGCAGGACACACAGCAAGTGTCCACACTGACACACCACCTTGGTGTGGCAGAGGATCAGGAAGAGGATTGGGAATGCAGCCTCAGAAATATCTTGCATTTTGCAACTATCTTTTGTGTTTGCAACCTCCCACTGTAGAGTTGTTTGATCTCCTATGTGGCCAAGACCAGTGGGGTCATTCCAAAAGAGGACTAGAGAGCTGGCTGGATAGCTCAGGTGGTTAGACCGTGGTGCTAAAGAGGACTGAAGCTAGGTGTGAGAGGGCAGGAAGGTGAGTGAGAAAGTGATTTCTCTGTAGATTGTAAAGCTTTATTCTAATGTCTGAAGTTTGTGTTGTTAATGGAAGACTGTGGAATACGTGGGTGACTTTGGATGGCAATATGTATGATATTTATCTGAATAAGCCCTTGAGGGTGTCAGAGATGAGTGAGATGTGTGCTGTGTGTTATTAAGGGTTAAGGTGAAATGCAAAAGGGGAGGATCAGAGGATAGTACAGAGAGAGAGGTCAGATATGTGAAAGAATTATTGGGTAAAATTCAGAAATTATGTGGACCCCAGAGGAAGCTCTATGTAGCTCAACTGCCTTACCCTACAGAACAGTACTGACATTGATTCAGAAAGAACTGGAACAATATAAGCATGGTTTTGCTTTCTATTGCTGGTTCTTTCTGCTTTTTGAACAAGCTTTGTTTTACTCTGACTCTCATGTCATCATTTGTGTTGAGGCTTCCTAACCAGCTGCATACACTTTATATTCTGAAGGTTTATAAATTGCCCTGTTCTACCCTGCCTGAGGATCCACTTTGGGTAATGTTGAGGCAAGAAAGGGATGATCTGCTTGTCTGAGTGAGTAGGTCTGAGCTGTGTTTTGTTTGGTTTTTACTACATTTTTAAAAACTATATGTTTATTCATAGAAGCTAAGTGAGGTCAACTGAGTTTTGTTTTTATTTATTGATGAAAAAGGATTAATTAGCCAAGTGGCAGAGCAGACTAAACTGAATTAATGTGTGGCTGATTTTCAGTTTATGAAGAAAGATGAGTTTGAGAATCAAAAGAAGGCTTTTCAATTCTGTAAAACTGATAAAGGAGAAAAAGCCAAAGCTATTCATTTGAAAGCATTGAAGAATCTTGCAGTACTACCAAATTGTGTAGATTTGATCTAAAGGCAAAGTTTTTAAAAAAATGCATTTAGGAAAAGAAAATATTCAAGGGGAAAGAAAAGACCTAACAAATCAGAATATATTTCCTCCTTTCAAAGAACTCTGCAAAATTTTCCTTAAAATTTAAAATTGAAATTTGGTTAGGTAAATGCTTATTTCAACAACATTATTTAAGTCTGCTCACATATAGAGCACATCTCTTTAAGGTTCTACTTATATGAGGGCAGACCATTACACCAAAAAGTACCAATTCAGAAAATCATCTGGATGACTCATTTTGTTATTTGACATAATTCAGATAATTGCCTTAATCAACTTTCCCCTAGGTTTTCAGTTTGTGTAGTCCTCTTCATCCTGCCATCCTGAATTCAAAATGAAGATTACTTGACTTTAAAATGACGGTAACACAGGCAAAGAAAAGCCCAGAACTTTATACACTGTTTTTTCCAATCTGATAAAGAGTGATTTGGGCTCTGGATGTACTTTGGCAAGGCCTGGTGATAAACGTACAGACATTGGATAGACAATAGCTATGGTATTGGTCTTGGATTCTTCATGGAGATTTATGACCTTATATCTGTCCCTTCAACAAGGTGCTGGTTGTTAGCTATGAAAGTTTTTATTGCTAAACCTGGAGAAGCAGAACTCTTTTTTTCAGAGGTCCTAAGTCTTTAGTCTATTTACATGGTTTTAGATATCTAAAGTCAGAATCATCTTCCTAATCCTAATGAGAAGGCAGCTCATCCTTCAGCAATGGGGTCCAAAGGAGTGAGTATCAGAAAGAAAGCTGCCTTTCTCCTTTACCACTGGAGTCTACATGCTGCTAATGGACTATTGAAGCCTCCTAATGTCTTTAATAAACCATTCCCTTTTAGGGCACCTTAACTGTTTGTGGTAGAGTTTGCAAAGAGTTTTCTTTGCAATACTGTGGGTCCTCTCCAGTATTTGGAGCTCCTGATGCAGACTGCATAATACGATGTACTGGTCCCTTGTGTGAAGAGAATCTTTTCTTTAATCTCCCAATTGCATAGCTGATTTATAATTTGGAGTAGTACAGAATTGCTTGGAGTCATGAAGTTCTTGGTCGCTATTGGTGCTTTACCCATGTGACTGCTACCTCCCTTGACTCTGTACTACCTAGATACCTGCCTCAATAGCACATGCTTTGCTGTCTGCTTAAAATATCTTAGTCTACCTACCCTCCTCATACTTATTTCTTTTAGGGACCTAATTGGACCAGACATGACACATGTCCTTTGAGGTGCAATTTTAGACGAAGAGTCTGCCCTACCAAATGCATTTGTGCCTTCCCTTTGCCCCCCAGGGTAAGGTTAAATGAGTGAGCAAGCACCATGCCAATTGAATATCAGAAATTAAGGGTCTGAACCCAGGTGGCTGTACTTTTTTTTACTTCTTTGTGACAGGCAAAAATTCTAGGCAGGAACATTTGAACATTTTCTTCTTCATCTTTCACATATGCAGTGGTAAGCACATGCAAAACCTTACCTGGATTAACATCTTAAAGAAAAGGCTTTTTTTTTTTCTATTAAGAGAAGGGTTTTCAATGTGAAAGTCATATTCCATTGCACTGATTAATGCTACCACAAAAAAAGTGGTCTGACAAAGAGATTCACAACCCTTGCCAATGGTTCACATATTATACAGCAAGATTTAATACCATCCACTAGATTCCACTGCAACAAGGGAATAAGAAAGATCCTTACAATTCTCTGTAATGGGTTTGACCTTTCCCAGAATTAGACATAAAGAATGGCTATGATGAGAAGAATTATAATGAAGTCTCACTAGCTTTTCCCAGTGTAAAAGTGTTCATAAGAAAGAGAATTAACACATCATTATCTTTCAGCTAAATTTCAGCTGTATGATTTTATGGCTCATAGTATTCCAAATATTCTCTCCTTCTAACTTTTATGGGCATACGTCTTGGAAAATAATTTGCCTGACTAGTGCATTGATGCTGTAAAAAGATGTTATTTTAAACACATAAAACTGATTTCAGAAATCCGTGGCTTTCACTTAAGAGTGTACTCGTGGTTTATGTTTATTAGTGTGCAGGTTTATGTGCACTTAAGTATATGTATGTATTAGGAATATATTTTATAGTTATAGAAGTTTAATATCCAAAGCTATTCTCAGAATAATTTTCTTATAGAAATTTGGCATGCCTTAATGTTGACTTTAAGAACAAGAGAATTCATTCACAAGTCACGAATGAAGAATTTGGAATCAACCTAAGAATGAGATGCCATGATTATATAAGTCTGTTTTGGTTGTTCACCATCCCACAAATGTTTATTGATGTATTTTTTTAAACTCAATTTCAGGCTCAGAAGGAGGTGGTATACTTAAAAATTATTTTACCATGAATTATGTTTTATTTCTTTGCTCCAAGTTTTGGTGACTCGCCTGTGTTTCAGGAACAGCCAGCCTTGTTTTCCCACTGCCATCTTCGTGCTTCTAGCCAGGTTCCAAACAAATGTCGTGGAAGAAAGCAAAGATGGGTTATTACTATGTAGTATATTTACAGTTTTTATGCCATGGTTCTTAAAATGCTTTTAATTTTACTTTTCTTGCCAAGCAAAAATAATCTTATGTTGATTATGTGGGGTTTTTTTATATTAAAAAGGGCAATTATTAAGATTATAAGCTTTGACTTAGGGCATTTGATGCCTTATATGTTGATAGCAAGTGTGTCATATCATTTTAAAATAAAACTATTTATTAAGATGTTTTATCATGTTTGTTAACTTTTCTTTAAATCTGAATCTGTGATGCTGATTTGGTCTTTTTAAATTATATTTGAAATGATCTGTCTAAAAACATTAAAACTGCTACTTACACCCAATTGAAGTGTAACAGTCTTCTTGCTACCATATCATTGAACTATGTAAGCTGTACCATTTTTTTTTAGCTTTATATGAAATACTCAAAGCTATTTCAGTTGCTCTGAATTACTCAGTGTTGAACTTACAGTGTGAATTGCATGATGTGGAAAAAAATACATGAGTAGATATTTTTAAAAAACACTTATCTGAAAATCCAGAAAGCTTTTAGGTGAGAAACAAATATGAAATTGACTTATGCCCCTTCTCTCAATCTTCTCTTAATCTAATTTTGAGCTCCATTTTCATTTGAGGTATGCATCACAATTTATATTATCAAGCAGAATTTTATCCTTATCATTTGTAAGTGCTGTCAAGGTCAAGAATTCTAAAGAGACAATTGGAAATAAGGCCCCATATCCCGCTCCACCAATTTAAAACAAAAATTGGATAAAGATTCTTATCCACTATAAAGCAAGAAACTTTAGTTATGTTTTGCTAGAAGGCGTTTTGGTTTTTGTTAAGTAGCTCTGATCTTTTAGAATGAGCTAAGAGGTGCAGCTGTTAGGATTCCAGTCTCCTGCTGCATGACCCCTGCAGGTCAGCAGGGAGGCTCTCAGGAAGCCAGTCTTTCAAGTGTTGCTGGTTGTCAAGCTAGAGGGAAAAAGAATCTGAAAGGTCTCAAACAGACACTGCACCCCTTCAGAACTTGTTAGCCAGGACAAGTTATATAGTCCCACAACGTCAGGAAATGCATTTCCATCACGTGCCCTGAAATGGGGAGAGTTAGAAGTGTTTGACAAATAACAGTAATGACTATCATAACTTCTAAGGTCTTTTTTTTGTTCAAGCACATTATGAATCAATTAACATAAAAATCATTGTGTTCTCTAATGAGCACTTGATCAATTTGATATTTTTATAGTGGGGCAAAAAAAAAAGTCTTCCAAAGATTCTCCAGAAAAGTCACAATATAGTAGTTCTTTATTGAAAATACTTAAAGAGGGAAATTTATCATCATTTACCTTAAGATTACCTATGTGATTTTATTGCAGTATTTTATCATAAAAGTTAGGAGATTAAGTCAACACCTGTGCTTTCAACTCATGAACAGGAGAAAGTACATTCTTGAATCTTTAATATGTATCATTCAATTCATACATTGCCTCTACTTTTCACAACATTCCTTCAATGCAAGTATTATCTGCATTTTAAAAATGAAAATCTGAAGCTGAAGAATGTTAAATGACTGGCTTTTAGATAAAATAGTGGTTTCTCAAAATACAAAACTAAATTAAAACTATCAAAACTCACAACCATCCTACTCACTGCCCCCACTGAGGTTTAGATAAACCTATGCTGATACTTCTCCCTGGAGATGAAAAGAAAATGTAGTTACTCTTTTTATGTGCACAGTAGTGCCCATAGGATAATGTAGTCTCCAGTGAGGAATCCAGTGATGGAGAGACAGTCATATTTGAGTACTTACTAGGTGTGAGGCATTCTGTTTTCATGCACTGTATCTTGTCTGATCTTCATAACGCATGGTATAAGGACTTCAGAACCAGCAAAGCAAATGACTTGAAGTTTGAATGTCTGTTTCTCTACTCATGTCAAGATGTCTAAGCCATAGTTTCTTCATCTATAAAATGAGTATAATCCTGTTTGCCTTGCAAGATGCTCATGAAACTTAAATAAGAAAATTGAGAGGAAGACTGAGAGAGAATCCTGTCTGGTACTCTTTGATTAGATCCATCATTATCTTGAGTGGGATACTTTCCAAGAGCAGAGTGTGAATTTTTGGAGGTACTTGGGATCTTCATGTTGATTCAGAAAACTGAATTCAGCCAATTGCGGATGATTACTCATCACCATGATAAAAAATAATCTTTTCCTTTCCCCCTTTCTTCTCTCCATCCTCCTCTTCCTCCTCTTTCTGGTTCTCTATTTCCTTCGCTCCTTCTCCTCCTTCTTTTCCTCTTCCTTTTCCCTCCCCCTCTCTCTCCCATTTCTTCATCATCATCATCATCATCATGTGGAAACTTCTCCTTTGGATGTCCCTTAATTTCACCATCAGAGATACATCCCTCCAAGAGAGAAACTTACATTTCCCTTCATAAGACAAAAATAATATGGAAAACTATCTTTGCTTAATTATGGGGTACGATGTGTGAACTCTTTGCACCATAATTCTACAGACTTTGAGTAGTCATAGCTCCAGTCATCAACACACCATGTGGCAGAAAACTCGGTTGTCTATTGAGTAGAAGTTTTTGCCATAGAAAAACACAACAAAATCCTTTTATTTGGTTAAAAATCTTTTTTTTTACATTCATCATGTTAATACTTTTTTAAAAGATTCTATTCAATGAGCACTGCCATTTATACAGACCACAGAATACATATTGCTTATATTTAATTTACCTTTGAGTTTTATTTAACCTTGCCTACATTCTGCCAAACTAACAAAGCTAACTGCTCTGGAATGCAAATGGCATTCAGAACAATTGCTAAAAATTAAACTTATTTTGCCTTGATACTTACATGGCATAGTCAGTGACGCTCCCTCCTGCTGAGTGGATCCATAGCAGGGAAGTCAGGGACACCAGAGCAGGAAGAGGGTAGAGCCAGGACCAGCCTTAAGTCATACCTTGTATAAATGACAAGCTCAGGAAAGAATTTCCTAGTTGCAAACAGAATGAAAGGGAACTGGAAGAGACATGCTAAACCCTAAACAGTAAGAGATGAGGCTGAGAGAGACTTTGAGTGATCAAAGTTCATTAGTGATGCAGCCTTATGTCAAAGGTAATATAAAGGGCATATCTGTTTTGTATAATCTCAGAAGAGCATCATTAAACTGAGAAAGAGAAGCCATGGAAATAACTCAGGGTGGAGATAAGAAAGTTGGACTATGGTATTGGCACATGAAACAGATGGGAAGCAAGTAATGCAAAAGCTGAAGATTCTAAGGGAATTTCATTACCAAAGAAGCTATGAGCTTCTGACTATTTGAGCCTTATAAAACAACATTTAGGCCACCAAGCTTACATTAGTAAGAGGCAGGCTGGAAACTTTATACAGCACTCAAAGAGATAATGTTACTGAATATCCATTTTAGATGTGGCCGTAGAGAATAAAAGCCAAGGATAAAACAACATTTAGGCCACCAAGCTTACATTAGTAAGAGGCAGGCTGGAAACTTTATACAGCACCCAAAGAGATAATGTTACTGAATATCCATTTTAGATGTGGCCGTAGAGAATAAAAGCCAAGGAAGAAACTTTTAGAGGCTTTAACAGGAGGCTTGGAGAATGGTGAACAGGTGAGTTCTTCCCAGAAGGCAGAACAGGGCACAGTCAAAGAATTTGCAATACCCCCAGAGCAGAAGGACTGCATAATGCCTGACTGACAAAATTTTTGCATTTATGTGGGTTGTCAATTACTGTCAAAAGGTTTATTGTGGTTATCATGTCCCTGTCCCATCATTGTATATTTTATGAGATATAACTTATCTTTTTTGTTTATAGTTTGCCAGATCACAAGAACAGACATCTCAACCTTATGAAGAAGACTATGTACATTTTAGAGTTCTTGGATTTGGAACTGGAGGCAATATCTGGATAGGTCTTTGAGTCATCCTCCTTGAGAATTGAGTCTATTCTGCGTGAAAGATGGGATAGACTATGGCAGACCCACCAAAAATCCATGCCCATCTCCTTTGTATAGAGTTGTTGCTGGAGAGCAGCAGCCTAACTGTTGGTCTCTCGGCGTTGAGGACCGACAACACAGGGCGGGAGAGGACCCCGGGCCAGCTGGCGGTAACCTCCCGTGGGGCTGAGCGGGATGATGAGTGTCGCAGGCCCGATCCCCTCTGCACTTCGGCCCTGGGGATAGAGAAAAAACACCGAGCCAGGAGAGCGGTCAAAGCCGGAACTCTGTTTATTGCAAGGGTGTTGGAGCTTATATAGAGGGAGCAGGCGAGGATTGCGAAAGAGGGCAGGAGAGGTCGGCTGACCAATCAGGGGAGGCCACAGGTTGGGAGGAAGGGAGGTGGCAGAGCGGGAAAAAGTTGCTTAGTCACTGGGCCCCGGAAAAGGGAGCAATCAGCTACGTGCGCATCAACGCTAATGCAACATGTGGCTTCCAAGATCACCCTGGTTGTCAATATCTGGCTGGCAGACAGAGAAAGAGACAGTATGGACGATTTTGTGGGAGGTTTTCACACTTAATTGGTTAGTACATATTATCACCACATCTAACCACAAGGGAGACTGGAAAATGTAGTCCAGCAGTATATCCAGAAAAAAGGAAGGAATGGATTTGGTGAACAGCTAGCCAGTCTCTGCCACATGTATGTCCTGATTATAATTAATTTCCTGTTTAATGTTTGACTTTTCTAATTATTTTCTTAATTTCCACTTGCCAAAATCTCCCTCTAGTTAACTGAGTATTTGGCTTCTTTTTCCTCAAGTGAAGTAGGTTAAGTATCTCATGGTAACACCTCAATTTATACCATGTCTAGTGTATAAGTTATATATTGCTGCATAGCACATTACCCTAAAACTTAGCACCTTAAAAAAATCAAGCGTATCATCCTACACAGTTTCTATTAGTCAGGTATTTGGGACCAGCTTAGCAGTGTGGTTTAGGCTCAGGGTTCTCTGATAAGGTTTCAGGGGCTGCAGTCATTTTAAGGCTTGACTGTGACTGGAGGATTCCATTCCAAAATGGCTCACTGACAAAATGGCGGACAGGTTTGTGCTAGCTGTTGGCAGGAAGCCAACACATGGTCCGCTCCACAGGCCTCCAGTTTTCTCACAGCATAGCTGCTGGGTTCTAAAGGCAGTGATCCAAGATAGATAGGAAGAAGCTGCAAAGTTTTTATGGCCAAGTTTTAGAAGTCAAACACTGTCACTTTCTCCACATTCTATTAGTCACTAAATCCAGCTTACAGTCCAGGAGAGTGAAATTAGGCTCTACCTTTTGAAGGGAGGATTGTCAAAAAAGGGTGTGTACATGTTTT